TCTCTTCATGCTGCTGCATCTACCAACTCTGCATTTCTCTGGATCCCATATGACCTTTTCTTATTCTTTTTTGGCTTCCTCCACATTTTCAATCTACTTTTTCCCTTTTCCCAAATTTTATTATGAAATATTTTTAAATAATTTTTTCATTCTTCTGAAGCGCCTCGTGATTTTTATCTTGAGAGGCGCTATATAAAAATCATTTCTTCTTCTTATAAACTTTCTGATTGAATTTCCTAAAACTGAGAGTTCTTTGTTTTGTGTTTGCTGCTCAGTTTCCTTGAAGACATTCTTAAGCTTCAGCACGAGACGCCTAAACGGACCCGGGCTCAGCCCACTTCCTGTGAGCGTTGGACAGGATTAAAGTTGTTCTTTTTACTGTTTGTAACATTTCATTTGATGATCTAGAATTCAACAACTTAAAAAAACTCGATTCATTCACTTGTTTCTAGTTACATTTTTATGTTTTGTTTTTTTGCCTTTCATGTTCAGGATGCAAATGAAGACAATCGGTGCACGAGTGATCAGAAAGGGGTTTAAAGTTTCCTTCTAAGAAAGACAAACATTTTACTTCTTTTCTCAAATGAAAACAAGAAAATCAAACAAATGCAAATGTCATCAAGGTAAAAGAAGCAGAGCCGTGGATTTATTTGTGCACAGGAGACACTTTCCTCTGCAGAGGCCGAGCCAAAGTTCATGAAAAAAGAGAAAAGAAGGGATGCAGGAATTTCTGACCAAATCTGTTTAACCAACTCGTTTCTGCGGAGGATTATAGAGGCCAATAAATCTGTTTTTACATATTTCTGCAGCAGGAAAAAAACTAAATAAAACTAAACATCTGCAGAAGAACATCAGAATTCATCTGATTCTAGAAAAACGTTTAAATCCAAACAGCAGAAATGGTCTAACAGGAAAATAACATTCAGATGACTAAAAATGTCCTGAAAGTTCAACACAGGAGATAAAAATGTCTGTTTAATTTGATGAATTTCCATCCTGATAAACATGAAGACCAAAAACCTGCAGACGTGAGCTTCTCATGGGTCTGATGTGTAAAATGAGTAAATCGGGAGCATTATTATGAATTATAATAATAATAATAACAACAATAACAATATTAGTAATAATAATAACAATAATAATAATTATTATTATTATAACAATAGTAATAATAATAGCAATAATAGTCTCGTCTCGTCTCGTCTTCCTCCGCTTATCCGGGTCCGGGTCGCGGGGGCAGCATCCCAACTAGGGAGCTCCAGACCGTCCTCTCCCCGGCCTTGTCCACCAGCTCCTCCGGCAGGACCCCAAGGCGTTCCCGGACCAGATTGGAGATGTAACCTCTCCAACGTGTCCTGGGTCGACCCGGGGGCCTTCTGCCGGCAGGACATGCCCGAAACACCTCCCCGGGGAGGCGTCCAGGAGGCATCCTGACCAGATGCCCAAACCACCTCAACTGGCTCCTTTCGATCCGGAGGAGCAGCGGTTCTACTCCGAGTCCCTCCCGAATGTCCGAGCTCCTCACCCTATCTCTAAGGCTGAGCCCGGCCACCCTACGGAGGAAACTCATTTCGGCCGCAATGAGCGGCAATAATAGTAGTAATAATAATAACAATAATAGTAATAATAATAGTAATAATTATAACAATAATAGTAATAATAATAACAATAATAGTAATAATAATTATTATTATAATAATAATAGTAATAATAATAACAATAATAGTAATAATGATAATAATAATAGTAATAATTATAACAATAATATAAATAATAATAACAATAATAATAATAGTAATAATAATAACAATAATAGTAGTAATAATAATAATAATAGTAATAATTATAACAATAACAGTAATAATAATAATAATAGTAATAGTAATAAATATAACAATAATAGTAATAATAATAATTATAGTAATTATAATAACAATAATAGTAATAGTAATAGTATAATAATAATAATAATAATAATAATAATAATAATAATAATAATAACAATAACAATAATAATAATAATAATAGTACTCCTCCTTGAACCGTCACCTTATTGTGGTGGAGGAGTTTGAGTGCCCTAATGATCCTGGGACAGGGGTGCCCAATCCTGGTCCTGGAGGGCCGGTATCCAGCAGGTTTTGTGGTTTTTCTGCTCCAACACACTTGATTAACTGGTTGAATCTCCTGTGCAGCAACTCATCAGGCTCTGCAGAAGCCTGTTTATCACCTGCTGATTGAAATCAGGTGTGTTGAAGCAGAAATAAAACTAAAACATGCTGGATAACGGCCCTCCAGGACCAGGACTGGGCACCCCTGTCCTAGGAGCTGTGTTGTCTGGGGCACTTTGTGCCCCTGGTAGGGTCTCCTATGACAAATTGGTCTTAGGTGAAGGGTGAGACAAAGAACGGTTCAGAGGATCTTTCATGGATTTACAATCAAAGAGTCGGAGTACCCAGCCCGGAGGTTACCGGGGTCCCACCCTGGAGCCAGGTCTGGGGTTGGGGCCCGTGAGCGAGCGCCTGGTGGCCGGGCTTTCGCCCATGGGGCCCGGCCGGGCCCAGCCCGAACCGGATACATGGGCTCATCCAACTGTGGACCCACCACCTGCAGGAGGAACATGAAGGGTCCGGTGCAGTGTGGATCGACCGAGGCGGGAGCCTTGGCGGCCTGATGCCCGGACAAGATAACTGGTTTTTGGGACATGGAACATCACCTCTCTGGCGGGGAAGGAGCAGGAGCTTGTGGCAGAGGTTGAGCGGTACAGACTAGATATAGTCAGACTCACCTCGACACATAGCATTGGCTCTGGAACCCATGACCTTGAGAGGGGTTGGACACTCTCCTTTGCTGGAGTTGCTCCGGGTGAGAGGCGGAGGGCTGGGGTTGGCTTTTTGTTAGGCCCAAGACTCTCTGCCTGTGTGTTGGGGTTTACCCCGGGGGACGAGAGGGTAGCTTCCTTGCGCCCTCGGGTTGGGGAACGGGTCCTGACTGTTGTTTGTGCTCATGGGCCAAATATCAGTTCAGAGTACCCACCCTTTTTGGAGTCCCTGGGACGAGTGCTAGATAGTGCTCCATCAGGGGACTCCATTGTCCTGCTGGGGGACTTCAATGCTCACGTGGGCAATGACAGCTTGACCTGGAGAGGTGTGATTGGGATCGGGAGGGATGGAGGGATCGGGAGATCGACAGGCGGATTGGTTCGGCGTCTGCAGTGATGCGGACGCTGAGCCGATCTGTCGTGGTGAAGAGGGAGCTGAGCCAGAAAGCCAGGCTCTCGATTTACCGGTCGATCTACGTCCCAATCCTCACCTATGGTCATGAGCTTTGGGTAATGACCGAAAGAACGAGATCGCGGATACAAGCGGCCGAAATGAGTCTCCTCCGTAGGGTGGCCGGGCTCAGCCTTAGAGATAGGGTGAGGAGCTCGGACATTCGGGAGGGACTCGGAGTAGAACCGCTGCTCCTCCGGATCGAAAGGAGCCAGTTGAGGTGGTTTGGGCATCTGGTCAGGATGCCTCCTGGACGCCTCCCTGGGGAGGTGTTTCGGGCATGTCCTGCCGGCAGGAGGTCCCCGGGTCGACCCAGGACACGCTGGAGAGGTTACTTCTCCAATCTGGTCCGGGAACGCCTTGGGGTCCTGCCGGAGGAGCTGGTGGAGGTGGCCGGGGAGAGGACGGTCTGGAGCTCCTAGTTGGGATGCTGCCCCCGCGACCCGGACCCGGATAAGCGGAGGAAGACGACGACGATAATAATAATAGTAATAATAATAATAATAATAATAACAGATGAGGAGAATGTTCCAAAAGAAAATGTTGATCTGCTACGATGCCAACCTTTGGTTTTGCTGCTGTCCTTAAATCATCACTTCTCCAGACTTTCTGGAGGTTTTCCAGGTTTATCTTTGGAATTTGGTTCTTTTTGTTTGTGGCTGTGATTAATCCTGATCTATGCACCATTTAGACAGGAGAAGGTTCCTGAACAGTTGTGTCACTCAGAAAAAATTCAGGAAAACAAATGAATGTCCTGCAGATTATCTCGACACCGCTGATTTGATCCAGACAGCCAATTTTTTAGATTTTTCTAAATAAATAAATAGTCCGTTTGGTTCTGTTTAACTATCTCACTTAGAACGTTTGTCTGCCTCACAGAGACGGTCCGATGTCTCTGCAGTCATTCTAAGGGTCACGCGCCTTTTGGACGAGGTATTTTTGGTGTTGATCCCCGTGGTCTCGGCTGCTGATGAAGGTCATGTGACAGAACGCTGATAAAACAGTCTGAGGCTGAAGGGAAACACCAGCAGGTGTGAGCTCTGATTCCTTACAAACACACACACACACACACGTGCAGACACACATTCGACAATCCCGGTCCTGTCACACACTGCTCAGCTGCAGGTGAGGATAAACAGATGTAGGTTAGGAGTTCCTTACCATCTACAGCAGGGGTTTCACGCCCGGTCCTCCAGGGGCACCATCTAGCTCTAGTTCTAGAGGTTTCTCTGCTCCAACACACTTGATTTGAATCTGCAGGTGATTAACAGACTTCTGCTAAAGAGGTGATTCAGCCAAGGTGTGTTTGAGCAGGAGACGAATGAAACGTGAAGGATGGTGGCTTTTAAGCACCAGAGTTGGTCTGCCGGGCAACAGCTGACTTCTTCTGCGGTAACAAACCAGCGTATTGTCTCATAGTTACATTTACTTGTTTTCCTGCCCAGCAGCAGGGTCCTGGCTGGAGCTAGATCCCAGCTAGATGCTGAGCTTTAACACAATTCCCCTGAACCAGCAGAGGAAGTTCTGGACGTTCATAGATCCACATTTTCATGTTTGACTCATTTTAAGGTTTTTCCGACCTTTAAATGTTAAATAAACCCTGTTGTTGTTTACAACTTCCTGTTTCATTCATTCTAAACATTACCCTAGTTATTACATATTTACATTGTTTACGTTAGGTGTCGAAAAAATGACTCAAAATAAAATGAATCCAAACACAAAACGCAAGAGTGAAAAAAAAACTTGATTTATTGTAAAGCACTTTCCATAAAATGCCCTGCAAACAAACGAGAGGGTTTAATAACAATAAAGTTTCCTACAAAAAAATAAATAAACTTTCTAGTTTCATCCGGGTTAGTTTTCCATTGGCTCACGTTAGACAAGTTCTACCTCTAGAACTAACCGGAACCCCGAGGGTTGGTCCGTTTCTCCGGAGGGCCTCGGTGTTCGTCAAAATAACTTTATTAATAATAACAGCTATACAAATCGTTCGGTGTGAAGTAAAAAGGACTGAAAACTAGCAGTTCACCCTTCACTCATCATCCACACACAAAATGTCTTTCTGCTCCCGTTGCTCCTCCTCCCATCTCTCCATTCCCAGGATTCCCATTCAGAAATCTGTGGATATTCGTCATCTTACCCGAACCCTCTGGAAGGAGAGACGGGAGGAACTACACCAGCTTTCCACCGCGATCAAGGCCTTCGAACACCAACTCTGTCATTTATAAAACTTTGGGCACAGGAAGTCGTTCCCATCGGTCCGAAGCTTTTTAGGGGAAATTCCCTAAATTACAAATAAACTGGATCTCAATCATTTGGGGTCTAATGCAGATCCTGGTTCCTGCACGTGTTTCTCAGGAGGTTTTTAGTCAAATCAATGGATCCTTTATTCTTTACTTATTGTTGTCTTTCATAAAGTGCACGGTGCGGGAATACAGTAAATGACTTTGTTTTTGACTTGATCAGAAGGATCAGCAGCTCTGCAGACGTTCCCCGGACGTTCTCGATACATTCTCCAGACGTTCTCGAGATCTTTCTGAGGTGTTGTTTAGATCCTGGCTGAATTTTTACCCAGTTTCTGGAAGTTTTCAGAGAAATATAGATTTTCAGTTCGCTCTGACCTCTGAATCATTCCGGCAGGAAAAAGGTTCCTAACTCAAGGGATGAGCCAGGAAGTGGACTGGCTTTGATCCGCCCTGCAGCCACGTCTTAAAGCTTTCTTAGAAACAGAAAAATGCAAATCTCACAGTTCTAATATGAAATAAAAGGAATGTTTTAATGGAAAACACAAGAACATTATATAAAATTAGATTATTAATGTTTTCAAGCTTTTAAAAAAATTAAATAAAAACGACGATGTTCAAATAACGACTTTGATAAAGCTGCTGTTTGAAATTATACCAATAACGGCTCGTCCAAGCAAACTTAGAAAAGGTGACTTTTGCTCTATTAGTTTTAAATGTGCAATAATTTAATCAGAGTTGGTGAGCGAGGGCCTCGAGGATCCCTGAAACATCTCCTCACTAAAAAAGCATAAAACTGAGAGACACCTCGACAGATTTCAGTGTAAAACCACAAAAACGTCCCAGAGCCGCGCCCCGACCGCCATCTCTGTTCTGCTCTTACGTTCTGAAATGATGGACGGAGTGAGAACTCTGGGATCTGGGCTCAGCAGGTCCAGATAAAAACCTTTCCAGTGACGGGTTTCTGCTCGTCTGTCAGTTTGACCTCAATCTGATCCCAAAAGGGAAATACTTCAAAAAACTTCAGAGTTTTTCTGACGAAAAACTTTTCCGGCGATCAGAAATATAAAAAATACAAAATCAGCTGCATTTACAGACCTGCACGAACAGAACGCAGCAGCATGCCCACGCACGACACTTAAATCCGTCGGCAATCAGACCATCGAGGTCGCAGAGACGACGGGCAGCAAAACACGGGTAACGACCAAAGGATTAAACCCTCAGACAGCCACAGCTTTTTCACGAGCAAAGCTGGCTGAAAACAGGAAAACAAGGAAATAAACGAGTTTTAAAAAGACAAAACAAACATACGTGACTAAAAATATTTCAAAATAAAAGCTCCTAAGAAGTTAAAGATGAAAAACAGCTTCCAATAACTTCATCAGCTCCAGAACCTGTAGGGAGTGTGTGTGTGTGTTGGTGTGTGTGTGTGTGTGTGTGTGTGTGTGTGTGTGTGTGTGCGTGCGTGCGTGCTCTGTGCGTGCGTGCGTGTGTGTGTGTGTGTGTGTGTGTGTGTGTGTGTGTGTGTGCTTCATTCGATGGGATCTCAGAGCTTGGAGGTCGCTGAGGGGAGCGCTTTGATTGGCCACTGGCTGAAGTAAACAGGTTGAGGGTTTTTTAGGACTCCTGAGGAACGACCTCCATGACCTTCTGACACCAGGCCGTCGTCGAGACTGAAACACACGCAGCAGACCGACACACGTTGTTACAGTCAGACTCAAACTCATGGCGACATTTATGATCGCTGGACTCACAGATTCCGTTCATCATCCACTTGGGTTTGTTTTGCCACCAAACGCCGATAAAGTAGACAGGAACTCCTGTGGCAATGATGCCGAAGCCGATGGCGCATTCTACCGGTGTTTTCCAGATGGAGACGACGATGAGGAAGAGGCACGCGAGCACGAAGCTGATCGGCAGCAGGATGTTCACCTGGAGAAGGAGGAGGAGGATGACTCGCTGCTACTAACTCACCCAACTTCAGTGTGAAACTGACTGGTTGTGTTTGGTGACGTTGGCTGGCTCTGGCAGCCATCTTGAATTGGC